ACCCATATCGCCCTTTATGTTGATGATAGATCGCCTTGATCTGCTGTTTTAAATCACTGTATTTATCTTCGAGTTTTGATGACTTCTCATGATAAAAGTACGTGCTTCGAGCCATTTTAGATGCGCGTAATAAATGTCTTAGTGGATAGCTTTGCCTTAACTCAGATACAAGTCTTGCAAATGCTGCTGCTCGGCCGCTTCCTTTGCTTCTTGCTCCAACCTTAAGGCTCTCAGCTTTTTTAGAAATGCGTTCTCTGCACGTAGATATGCTAATTCTTCAAGTAGCTGCTCTTGCGTTTTATCATGATCTTCTTGGGAGGGTTTAGCTCTTAGTTTCTTAGGCTTTGGCATTTGTTTGGAGCATCCTTTTGGCTTAGATTTTAATCCATCTATACCGTGCTCTCTGTATTGACGCAACCATAGAGAAAGAGTTCCTTTCTCTTTCAATTTAAAAAATATTAATGCTTCAATCAACGATAGCCCATCGTTGATTATTTTAAGAACGACTTTATGTTTGAATTTCACAGAGTAGGAAATCCGTTTAGTCTGGTATTTAAGACCATCGGCACCTTGAGTCTGATATACAGCAGTCCATTGTCGAACAGTTCCTTGATCTAATCCAAATTTATGAGCTGTCTTTCTAAACCCATCATCGTTGTCATTAGATAAGTAATTTTGAACAACTTCAAGTTTAAATTCTTGAGAATATTTAGCCATAAAAAGCACCCTCCAAATTAGACTAAAAGTGTCCAACTTTCGGGGTGCAGTTCAATATGCGGGTTTTTTCTTCTAATGGGACAACTTATTCTGCGTTTAAGGCACTGATCAATTTTTGGTGTAAACCACCAAAGCCACCATTGGACATGATCACGACAGCATCGCCCTCGCCTGCTTCACTGACGATGGTATGGATAATGTCATCTAATGTACGTGCGACCACGGCCTTGTTGGGTGCAGCCGCAATGACAGGTTGCAAGTCCCAGTCCAAACCTTCTGGTTGATACCAAATCACTTCATCGGCCAAACGCGCAGAGTGCGCAAGTCCATCTTTATGGCTTCCCATGCGCATGGTATTTGAACGAGGCTCAATAATTGCCCACAACTTACGTTCGCCTAAACGCTTACGTGCGCCTTCTAGCGTAGTATCAATTGCGGTTGGGTGATGGGCAAAGTCATCATACACTTCAACGCCACGTACCGTGCCTAAAAGCTCCATACGGCGCTTCACACCACCAAAGTTAGACAGTGCTGCGCACGCTGTTTCAATGCTCACGCCAACGTGTTCAGCCGCAGCGATAGTCGCCAAAGCATTGGCTACGCTGTGCTGCCCTGTCATGTTCCATTGCACCGTGCCTTTCACCACGCCGTGTTGGAGTACTTTAAAGTGTGAACCATCAGCACTGAGTTGTTCGGCATACAATTCAGACTTGTCGTGGGCCTCTAAAGAGGTACGAACCACAGGTGTCCAACAGCCCTGCTCTAAAACTTCATCAATATTGCTTTCAGTAATTGGAGCAATGATACGACCCTCACTTGGAATGGTACGAACCAAGTGATGGAATTGTTTTTGAATCGCTGCTAGATCATCAAAAATATCGGCATGGTCAAATTCAAGGTTATTTAAAATGGCTGTTTTTGGGTGGTAATGCACGAACTTCGAACGTTTGTCGAAAAAGGCAGAATCATATTCATCGGCTTCGACACAGAAGTACTTGCCAGCACCTAAACGCGCACTTTCAGAGAAACCTAAAGGTACACCGCCAATTAGGAAACCCGGCTCTAAACCTGCCTGATCCAATACCCAAGCCAACATGGTGGTGGTGGTGGTTTTACCATGGGTTCCTGCTACGCCAAGTACGTGTTTGCCTTGGAGCACATGATCGGCCAAAAATTGTGGGCCTGAAATATACGGCAAGCCTTCATTGAGCATGTATTCAACTGCATCAATCCCGCGTTTCATCGCATTGCCGACGATGACCAAATCAGGATGCGGTTGCAAATGACTGCGGTCATAACCTTGCATTAAGGTAATGCCTGCATTTTCGAGTTGGGTCGACATGGGAGGATAAACGTTTAGATCCGAACCCGTCACTGTGTGGCCAAGATCACGTGCTAAAAGCGCTAAAGACCCCATAAAGGTGCCACAAATACCCAAAATATGCAGATGCATTCCGCCTCACTCCACTGCTTTTATAGACACATCACGTATTGTTGGTGCTGTTGTCGTGATTAATTCGATGTGAAAGCAACCATAGCAAGGCGCTTAGCGAAAAGATAGTGATTCTTGTATCTAATCGTTTAATTATTCTGCGGCTTGAACAACGCTTTTATTTTGTAAAAAAACCATCTGAAAAGTGCAATATTTGCTGAATTTTTTAATGAAAAACGTAAAATAAATGTTCCTAATTCCAGTGAAGTTTCTTCATGTCCCTGCCCTTTATTTTATTGATTATTGCCAACTGTTTTATGACACTTGCATGGTATGGACATTTAAAATTTTTGCATGGTGCGCCGCTTTGGCAAGCCATTTTATTTGGGTGGGCCATTGCGTTACTCGAATACAGTTTTATGATTCCAGCAACGCGATTGTTGGCCAAACACGGGTGGTCTTTGGGTCAAATGAAAATCACACAAGAAGTCGTGACTCTATTGGTCTTTGTCCCATTTATGATTTTTCTTTTTAAACAACCCTTTAAATTGGATTATTTGTGGGCAGGTTTATGCCTTTTTGGTTGTGTTTATTTTGTTTTTCGCAGTGCTTAATTGATTTAATACAGCACAGGTCTCATCATTTAAGAGATACGTGTTTGCAGGCGTTTTTTAGGACTTTACTAAACTCACGGTCTCGTGCAGTGGGATCCTCATAGTCAAAGGCATAATCACTATCACTGGTCAGCACACTCATTTGACCGTCTGCTTCAAAGTTGATGAGTGCATAACCATAGGTTTGGTCATCACAAAACAC